TAGTTGATGGATTAAAACATAATCTTCTATCTATAAGTCAACTATGTAGTAATGGAAATCGAGTTATGTTTGAAAATGACAAATGCTCTGTGGAACAAATTAATGAAAATAAGATTATATTGGTAGGCAAAAGAGTCAATAACATGTATGTTGTTGATCTAACTGACTCAAGCATGTTCAATGCTAAATGTCTTCAAGCTTCCTCTCAATCATCAGAATTTCTATGGCATAAAAGATTAGGTCATATTAGTTTGTCAAAGTTGTCTACTCTGTCTAAATTTAGTTTAGCTAGAGGGATACCGAAGCTAAAAGATAAAGCCGAGTTCTTCTGTGACGCGTGTGCTGCTGGAAAACACAAGAGAAAAGTTTTAAACCCAAACCTGATATTACTACCACTAAAACTTTCGAATTAATTCACATGGACTTGTTTGGACCGTGTAATGTGACTAGCTTGGGAGGTAAAAACTATGTATTTGTCCTAGTAGATGACTACTCTAGGTATACTTGGGTGTTTTTCTTAGCTCACAAGGATGAAACCTTTGAAAAATTTCGTTCATTTGTCACAATGCATAAACAATCCTTAGAAAATATTCGAAGTGACAATGGGGGAGAATTCATTTCAGATGAATTTGCTGACTTCTGTGACAAGTCAGGAATATGTCATACTTTTTCTACTCCTTGATCTCCTCAACCGAATGGGGTTGTTGAGCGCAAAAATAGAACTTTAATAGAATGTTCTCGTACTATGCTCTTAGATTATAACTTACCTAAGTTCTTTTGGGCAGAATCTGTAAACACTGCTTGCTATGTCATAAATCGTGCTCTGATTAGAAAACAATTGAACAAAAACCCTTATGAAATACTAAAGGGTAGAACTCCAAAGATATCTTACTTTCACCCCTTTGGATGTCCTTGTTACACGCTGAACACTCGAGATTCTCTCGGCAAGTTTGATGCCAAATCTGATCCTGCTACTTTTCTTGGTTACTCAACTAAAGGTCAAGCTTATAGGGTTTATAATAAAAGAACTAGAAAAGTAGAAGAGTCAGTTCATGTCATATTCAATGAAACAGTATCTGTTGTATCAGATAATTCTATGACTTTTGACTTAAGTGAACTCACTTCATCTTGTCAAGAATCTTATAGTGAGCAGGTTACCCTAGACAAGACTCAGACGCTAGAACCTCAAGCACAAACTCCTGAAGATACTGAATCAGCAGCTGGTGTACCAAAGGCCCCACCCCATATTCAGAAGAGACATCCTGAAAGTCAAGTCATTGGTAAAATTAGTGATGGTCTTCAGACTAGAGGTAAGTACACCCCTGGCCAGTATGCTTTTGTATCTCAATTTGAACCAACTGGAAAGAAGCTATACAGGATGAAGAATGAGGTTTGTCTATGGTAGAAGAATTAAACCAATTTGAACACCTGCATGTTTGGGACTTAGTTCCAAGACCTGAAAACGTTACTGTAATTGGTACTAAATGGATCTATCGAAATAAATCTTATGAGGAAAATGTGGTTGTTAGAAATAAATCTAGATTGGTTGCTCAGGGGTACCTTCAAGAGGAAGGTGTTGACTTTGACGAAGCTTTTGCCTCAGTAGCTAGGCTTGAATCCATTAGGTTACTGTGTGCTTTTGCTAGCTTTATGGGATTTCCCCTTTATCAAATGGATGTGAAAAGCGCTTTCCTTAATGGCTAGCACCACATGAGGAAGTTTACGTAGCACAGCCTCCTGGCTTTATTGATTTTGAACATCCTGACCATGTTTATAAGCTAAACAAAGCTCTGTATGGTCTCAAACAGGCTCCTAGAGCCTGGTTTGGACGTCTCTCACCCTTTCTTATTGAAAAATCTTTTGTTCAAGGAAGTATAGAAAAGACTCTATTCATAAAGCACGTGTCTGATCACATTCTTATTGTTCAACTCTACGTAGATGACATAGTTTTTGGATCTAGTGACCCTAAACTGTGTACTGAATTTTGTGAAACCATGCAGTCAGTTTTCGAAATGAGCATGGTGGGAGAGTTAAAGTTTTTTCTTGGACTACAAGTTAAACAAAGCACCTCTGGAATCTTTATTAACCAATCTAAATACCTTCAGAAAATGCTTCTAAAATTTAACATGAATACGATTAATTCTAGCCCCACCCCTATGGCAACCAATCTTAAACTTGACAAAGACACTTCTGGGAAATTAGTTGATGAAAAGAAATATCGTGGAATGATAGGGTCATTACAATATCTAACCGCTAGTAGACCAGACATCCAACATAGTGTGTGTCTTTGTGCTAGGTTTCAGTCTGCCCCTAAGGAAAGCCATCTTAGTGTTGTAAAACTAATCTTTCGATATCTAAAAGGCACTCCTAAAGTAGGGTTGTGGTATCCTCGCCATGACAACTTCAATTTACTAGGATATAGCGACTCAGACTTTGCTGGTAGCCTCTCAGATAGGAAAAGTACTACCGGAACTTGCCAATTTGTAGGAACTTCGTTAGTTTCTTGGTCCTGTAAAAAACAAGGGGCAGTTTCCCTTTCTACTACTGAAGCCGAGTAGATTGCAGCAGGGAGCTGCTGTACTCAGCTCATCTTGCTTAAAAATCAACTTTAAGACCATAAAATCAATGCCACGTCTATCCCATTATTTTGTGACAATACTAGTGCTATATGTATGTCCAAAAATCTTATTCAACACTTTAGGCCTAAACATATAGAAGTAAAGTTTCACGTTATTAGGGAATTAGTCGAGCAACATTTAATTCAATTAAATCATATCCCAACTGAGTTTCAACTAGCCGATCTGTTTACTAAGCCATTAAATGCAGATCCATTCGCTTTCCTTTGCTATGAACTCGGGTTTCGATCTCTAGAGAATCTGGAGAATTTGATCTGATTGTCTGATCCTCCTTCTTTACTTTTCTGGTTTTTTTTCCTTTCTTGTTTCTTCCTTTTATGTGTTTTCCATATCTTCGTGAGTTGGTTTGGTATTTATAGGTCTATGTGGTTTCCTCTGTTTATTCATCCTTAGTTTGAGTCTTAGCTGTCTATCTTAGTCTTTTCAATGGTGTTCGAGTTTTCCATCACCTACACAGGTATTCTGTTCCATGACCCTATCCCTGCTAATGCCCATAGGCATGCTGTCTCTTATGCTCGTCGCCCTATCATTCCCACCTATCAGATTCCTCATGTTGGCTTAGTTGAGTATGGTCTTGACTTTACTCAACTTATTCATAATCTGGGTTGGGACTTTCTTATCGATGAAACTCTTGAGCATATTTGTCCTGAGGGGGTTCGTCTGTTTTACTCAAACTTTCGCTCTTTTGGCCTTGATACTCGTACTTTTACTACCTGACTTATGGCCATCTTGTTACAATTCCCATTGAGGATCTCAGGCGTCTTCTTGCCATTCCCCAGGTTGGTGAAATTTTAGCTCATGAGTCTGAGCTTGCGCTGTTTAATTTCAATATTGAGCATGAGGTTGTGCATCAGACTGGCCATACTCCTGATGCTCTGCTTACTCTCCCCACCACATTCCTGCTCCCTGCTATTCGAACCTTCCATTTTTTCCTCACTCATCGCTTCCTTCCTAGGACTGTCCTATTAGATCGAGTCACTCCTCTGGATCTCTGGGTCATTCAGCATGCTGTGACCAATGTCCCACTTGACTACTCTCATATGCTCTTTGGACATCTCTACATGTTCCAGTACTTTGAATATCATGGTCATCTTCCTTTTGGTCCCCTGATTACTCGTCTTATCTCTCGTCTTGAGATTTCTCTTGACCCTTTCCGCATCACCACTCCCACCGTTTTTATCACTGCTGATGATGTTCTGGTCGAGATTGTCGTTGCCGTTGAGGGGGAGGATGATTCAGACTCTGATTTCTTGAACTTTGAAGAACCGGAGGAGGAACCTACTGAAGAAGAGGTCCATATCGATTCTGGATCTGAGGAAGAAGAGCCAAATCAAGATATAGAAGTACATTGGATTAGCAGCAGCAGTGACAGTGATGATGACTCTGATCCTGGCTCCCCTCCGTTGAATGATGTGCTCGCTACTCTTCCGGATGTTTATGGTTCTGATGGTTCTGATTAACTTTTCTCAGTTGATATTTCGTTAGACCTTTTGGTTTGCTGGACGTGTTTTTCCCAGCTTCTGTTATGGTTCACTAGACATGCTTTCCCAGTTTTGGTAGTGTGTTCATGTCTGTTTAATGCTTGCTGGATATTTTTAAACTTGTTGAATGTGTGATGTGGTAGAACTAGTTAATCGTTAAAGGTGTAATCTGTTGCTGGATATTCGTTAATGTGTGATGTGCTAGAACTGGTTAATCGTTGTGTGTGCATGGAAAGGTGTAATCTATTTTGCAGGGTTCAAGAGGACAATCGACAATCTCTAACTTAGGGGGAGATTGTTGAGATGGTGAAGATCAAGTTAGGAGATTGCAAAAGCACGAATCAAGGGGGAGTAGATCAATCAATCAAGGATCTCAATTACCAGCTGCTCAACTTACCTATTCTGCTCAAATTTCAAACACCAACAGCTCTTTGGAGGCATATTTAAAGAAGCAGCAGGGGAAGAGCTCTGTACTGAGAAAAACAGGGAATTCTTTGTGGCACAGGGCAAAGGGTTGGGTTTAGGGATCAGTGGCTTTGATCTAAGCCGGGGTATAGGTTCAGCTTGATCAAAGGGTGTATCAAATTCTGCGAGAATACGGGTCTAAAGTCTTGATCTTTTGATTTTCCCACCAGAGTCTGTATTTTGATTGTTTCGTTCTTGTTGCTCAGTCATAAAAGAAAATCAAAAGTGTCTCTCATGATAGTGGTACTATCCTGGGACGAGGAGTAACCCTGTGGTGACATCGTTAAAATTGGTTGTGTACTTTACCTTCTGTACTTTCTATTTCTTCTCTTCCTCCTCTGTTCTGCTTCTCCCTGGCTCGAGAAAGAGTTGGCTCTGAGAAGAAGACAATCAATTTCGTACCTTCTTCGACGAGCTTGGGCCTATACAAGTCTTATTTCCGGATATGTCTCCTCGGATCTGTGGGCATGTCTTTGTTTATATAATATAATATGCTTACAAACATTCTTGCGAAAATAAATGCAGATACAATTTTTTTTTTGTGTGAAACGGAGCGCTTAAAGCAGTGTTGTGAAAGCCGAGCCTAGCCGGCCGGCCGAGCCGCCAAAACCGCCAACCGGGCACAAAACCGGCTCGGATCAGCGATTTAGCCGGACTGGTTCTCTGGGGCGGCCGGCGAGCGGCCGAAGCGGTTAACCGCTCAAGCCGGTCGTCCGGTTTTTTACATTCGGCCGGTTGGTGTAATTAAAAAAAAAACTAAAAGACCGTAAATTAAAGGGGAAGGTGGGTCGGGGTCGGGCCGAACCCTAATTCCCAAATTTCATTCTCCATCTTCTTCTTCGTGGAGAGCCTGGAGACAAGAAGCGTCGTCGCCATCGCCATCTTCCCCAGCGCCGTCGCCATCTTCCCCAGCGCCGTCGCCGTCGCATCTGGACTGCACTTCAGCTTCCCCAGCGTCGTCGCCATCTTCCCCCGACCCGTCGCCATCGCCATCTTCCCCAGACCTATCGCCGTCGCCATCTTCCCCAGCGCCGTTCCCCGTCGCCATTTCCCTCCGATTTGGGCGAGCCCCTGCCGGCGAGTGCCCCGGTGAGGTCTCCCTTCCCTTCCCCGTTCTCCATTACCATTACTACTCCGATCGATTACCCCCGGTGAGGTCTGCCTGCATTTTCCGATCGATTACCCCCTGTATAGTTGTGTAAAACATGGACTGATTATTCCCTGCCACATTGAATAATTGAATATATGTACTCCTGTTAATTATTTATTAGTTACGTATTCTATTTAGCATCCAAACATTCCAATCAACCGAAAATGTGGTTGTCATGTGTAGGGATGGCATTGATATATGTATATATGGATAGAGGCTAATTTTGGGTTGGTTGGTGGTTTCCGTTTGAATCAATGATCAGCTAGCTAGTAACGATGTTGAAAATGACACAAGCTAGCCAATCAGCAATATAAATAGAATCCAATCAACCTATAAATAAGAGATATAGCTGAGTCCATTGAATCTCGCCACATCCCAACTACAAACCAGCTGGAGGCTGTAGTTCCTTTCAGTTTTGAGTTAGGGGAGGCAATCAATAATAGAGATGTAATCTTGCTGCACAAAAAAGACAGGAAGATGCTGAGAAAACATATTAAAGAATGTGGGGATAAAAAGTGATGTAGTTCCTAATACTACTTAGAAGCTAGATTAGTAATGGTTTATTCCTTGTCCCATTTAGCAATTTTTTTGCTTACTTGTTAGATTTACTATTGTAAATTTGCTGATTCGTTGTTTCTTTTGTAGATGAGTACTCCAAATCCAGATAGTGGTACTCAATCAACAACACCGAGCTCTACTGCTTCAACTGGGCAAGCTGGTCGAGGAAAGAATGATCCTGCTTGGAATTACATTCAAGAACTCAAAGATGATAATGGGAAGGTAAAGGCACTCAAATGCATGCTATGTGGAATTGAGAAAAGGGGAGGGGGTATTGATCGGATGAAAGAGCATCTTGCTCATTCTTCAAAAGGGAATATTGTGAAATGTTCAAAAGTTCCCTATGATGTGCGTCTGAGATTTGCCAATATTCTTAAAGAATTTGAAGAAAAGAAAGATGGGAAGAAGAAATCTAATGATCCTATCATTGGTGACAAGGAAGATGATGTAGTTGAGTTAGTGAGATCACAGGAAAGGAAAAATGTTAGTGACTTGATGAAGAAAGATAAGGGAGTTGACTTTTTTGCTCCAAAAACCACTCATGGGTCGCAACCAGGCATCAAAAGTGAAATGGCTACTCAGGATGCAATTCATAGAGCGCATATGATTTGTGCAGAATTCTTCTATGAGAATTGCATATCTTTTAATGCAGCTAACTCAGATAGTTGGCAGAGGATGTTTGATGCTGCAATTGCTATTGGTCCAGGATTTAAGGTACCATCATATCATGATTTAAGGGTGCCTTTACTAGCTGATTGGAAGAGAGAAACCCAGCTAATTGTTGATTAACACCGAGCCGTTTGGGGACAGCGTGGATGTACATTAATGGCTGATGGTTGGACTGATCAACAAGGTAGAAGCTTGGTCAATCTATTGGTCTCCTGTACTGGAGGTTTTTGTTTTCTTAAATCTGTTGATGCAACAAAGATTGTGAAGAATGCAACGAACCTTTTCAAGATATTTGATGAAGCAATTCAGTGGATTGGCGTGGACAATGTGGTTCATGTGGTTACTGATAATGCAGCTAACTACAAGTCATGTGGTAAGATTATTCATAAGACTTATCCACATATTTATTGGTCCCCATGTGCAACTCATTGCATGAATTTGATATTGGGTGATTTTGTAGATTTGGATAATGTGAAGGCTGTCATTCAAAAGGCTAGAAGATCACTGTCTTTGTTTATAATCATACTCCTATGATTAATTGGTTGAAAGCAAGGCCAAATTGGAAGCAAATAGTGAGACCTGGTGCAACTCGCTTTGCTACTAATTTCCTCTTCATGAAGAGTGTGTATGAGCACAAGGTTGATTTACAAGCTTTAGCAGTGAGTGAGTTCTTCAATGCAGATGAATCATCTAAGACTGCAAAAGGAAAGGCGGTGAGTGCTATATTGTTAGATGCTCAGTTTTGGGGTGATTGTTTGGAGATGGTAAATGTGGCTCAACAAGTCATGAAGTTGCTGAAGTTTGTGGATTCAGATGAGAAGCCCACTCTTGCTTATGTTTATGAGGGAATGAGAAGAGCAATTAAGGGAATCAAGGAGATCTTTCTGGGTAAAGAGACTTTGTACAAGCCTTACATTGACATCATCAACAAAAGGTGGGATAAGAATTTTCGGGGGGATCTAGTCAAGGCAGCTTATTTCTTCAATCCTGCTCTCAAATATGATGAGAAAGAATATGTAGGGGACATTGAGGTGAAGGGGGCTATAATAAACTTGCTTGAAAAGCCCCAACTTTGTAGTGATGGTTTGCAAGCATGTAAGGAACTGAAATTGTTCGAGGAAGCGAAGGGGACTTTTGGTAGGGATTTGGCTGTTAGAGGTAGATCGTCACTTGATCCAGGTAATATGAAGTATCATGATTCTTAATGCAATAGTTGGTCTATTTAATTGTGTTTGTTCTAATAAATTATTTTTCTTTGTAGATGATTGGTGGAATACCTTTGGTGATAGTGCACCATTGTTGAAGAACCTTGCACTTCGAGTCCTAAGCCAAACTTCTGCCTCTTCTGGATGTGAAAGAAATTGGAGTGTGTTCGAGCGGATTCACACCAAGAAGAGGAACAAGATAGAGCATGAAAGACTAAGCAATCTAGTCCATGTGAACTACAACATGAAGCTAGCAAAGAGGTATGTGATGAATAGCAAATGTGTTTGATTTTAGTACAAAATATTTTTGCCATGAAATAGTGACATACTTGACTTGTATTTAATCATTCATAGGTCTCGTACTAGAAAAAGTAAGTTCTTGGTTGATCCATTTGACTATGAATGGATTAATGCCACTGAATTTTGGGTTATGGATGAGGAAGAGGATCAACCTCCAGATCTTAGCTTTGATGAGTTGATGCAAGCTATGGGTGAGGATAATGCTACTGACATTCCTGAAGGAAGTGGAACTACAAGTAGGAAAAGAGGTCACAATGAAGGTTGTATTGACATATTAGTAAATGAAGAATGTTCAACTTTGATATATTTTTAACACATGATTTCTTACATTTTTTTTACTTATTAGATTATGATGGAGATGATGGCAGCACACCAATTGACATGGCGTCTTCAAGCAGTGATTCATCTGATGCTGATGGTGAATGAATGGTGTTGAAGTCTAGTGATGGTGAATGAAATGATGTTGAAGTTGTATTTGATAATTGTTTGAGTTTGAGACTTTGAGTGGTTTCCATGTTTAAGACTCTTGTTTCATGTTCAGACTCGTGTGATATTGCTTTTATTTTGGAACAATGTGGTGGTTTGGAATTGAAATTTAGATCTTTCGGTACTGATGTTCTAGAATTGTTTAAGAGAGTAATTTACTTGTGATTTACCATGATTAAGAAGTGTCCACTATTTATACAGATGACTATTTATTAGGTACCGGTTCTCAAACGATTTTTAAACGGTCTAATACCGGCTGGACCACTAAAGACCGAGCCGTTCACGTTTCCGGGTCGTACTCCGGTTCGGTTCTGACAACATTGGCTTAAAGGGCGTTCGGACCTTTATTCATGAACTACACGAGGGGTTTGAATCCCAATGACATCATAATACAGCCATTAGGCTAAAGTACTATCCGGGTAATAAAAAAAACATGTAAATCAATAGGCCAAATATGACGGAAAAATCCCAAGTTACACATGTTTTTAAAAAAAATTCTCAAAATACACACGTTATGAAAATAATTCCCAATCTACGCATGTTTGGGCCGTCACCGCTGTCGACGAAGACAGTGATTGCATCACTGCAGTACACGGCCGCGGTGAAGGCCTGACCTGCGTCGAAACTATAAACAAACGTAACTTTGTGCTCGATTATCCGATCGTAGCGAAATTTTTTTTGATTCCGCATAATTTTTCGAGATCTTGCAAGCCGCAAATTTCCGTAGGAGATCTGGTCCCGCCTTCGTCTCGAAAATATGTCGTTTGCTACCCCGAACGAGCCTTTTTTCGATTTCATCAAACTTTGAACGACCATAACTTTGTGCTCCACAATCCGAAAATCATGAACTTTTTTTTGATTTAGCATAACTTTTTAAGGACTACAATTTTTAGTAGGAGAGAATTTTCAAAAAATTGAATTATTTATGGATATAAGGGGTTTTGGGAATAACTTTACCTTCCTTTTCAGGAATCCAAGTACATTCCGAAAATATGTCTATGATAAAAATTGTAGTCTTTAAAAATTTATGCGAAATCATAAAAAATTCATGATTTTCGGATTGTGGAGCACAAAGTTATGGTCGTTCAAAGTTTGACGAAATCGAAAAAAGGCTCGTTCGGGGTAGCAAACGACATATTTTCGAGATGAAGGCGTGACCAAACCTCCTACGGCAATTTGCGACTTGCAAGATCTCGAAAAATTATGTGGAATCAAAAAAAATTTCACTACGAAAGGATAACCGAGCACAAAGTTACGTTTGTTTAAAGTTTCGACGCAGGTCAGGCCTTCACCGCGGCCGTATACTGCAGTGATGCAATCACTGTCTTCGTCGACAGCGGTGATGGCCCAAACATGCGTAGATTGGGAATTATTTTCATAACGTGTGTATTTTGAGAATTTTTTTTAAAAACATGTGTAACTTGGGATTTTTTCCAAATATGACCTATGACAGCAAGATGATCGGCCACAAAATTGACTTCTCTGTAGACGTGCAGATACAAATTATTATTTGATCATGCTTGAGCAACACTTTTACTCAAGAAACGAATTGCGAGACTCCACTTACAAGTGACAACTCTCAATTTGCATACAATTTTTTTTGGTTCATTCCGCTCCGGCGAAACTCTTCAGCCTGCCAGCCCACCGTTCAGGTTCAGCACTTGGGAAGATCGCCGGGCGGCGGCAGAAGCGACTGATTGGGGCCTTTCCCATTGTCCACCAAGAACGCCATCTTCAACCCCCAAGTCGTGTGGATTTCCAGATGGCAATGCATAAACCACACTCCCGGGTTATCAGCCCGGAACCGAATCGCGACCCACCCACCCGAAGGCACTCCGATGGTGTTCCTCTCCACCGGGTCGACCAGATTGAACTTCTTCGGATCCGATTTAGGGTTGTAGTTTCCGATTCCCCTCCCCACCGCGAAGAAATTGAATCCGTGGAGATGGATTGGGTGGTTCTCGGGGGAGATGATGGCGGTGTCCTGCATCACCAGCTGGACCGTCGAATTGTAACCCAATCTGTAAACCTTCGTCCCTCTCGTGGTCGCCAGGTTCGTCGGTGGGGTTCCCGTGTAGTTGAAGACGTGGGGCGGGTTGGCCGGGAAATCGGTGGTGAAGATGCCGTTGAGGTTGAAGAAGTGGGCTTGTAGCAGGGCCGTGGTGGGCATTACGAAGGTGACGTTATTGATTCCGGCGACCACTCTGCTGCCGTTTCCGGCTTTGCAGCTAGTGCACGGGTTGATTCCCAGCCCGACCGTGAAGAACAGGTTGTGGTCGATTTTTTTAGGGACGGCGGCGGGGAATTTTTGGGAATTGAGGCTTCGTAGTGAGTTTGTGAACTTGTTGGCCACTGCGGTGGCGTTCTGAGGAGGTGGGTTCGTCGGAGTCGTCTGGGCGCTCGACAGGGTGCCGGCGTAGCTGACCGTGGCCGTGGCGGTTCTGTTGTCGACGGCGATTGGAGCGTCCATAAACGGCGAGGCGGCCACCAGGTACTTTCCCGAACTCTGGTCTGCTGAAACCAGGACGTTTGTCGTCTGTCCTGGAGCGATTAGGACTGTGTCGGTTTTGAATGGTTTGACATAGGTGGCGTCGACCTCCACTACTGTGAGTTTGTGGCCCGCAATTTTGAAGAAGAGCTCTTCATTGAGTGCAGCGTTGATTAGTCTCAGCATGTAGGTTTTCCCTGCCTGGAATGGCAGTGTGAAGCCTCCTGGAAATTGAGAGTTTACGTTTCAGAATCTGATCGGTTAGAACTGTAGAGATTTTTTGTGCTGAATGTTCTGCAGAAGATACACAAACCTTGCGAGGCGCAGTTGGAAATCGGTCCAGGATGGCCGTTGATTGTGTGGGCATCAGAGACATTTGGTGCCAATCCTGATTTTGTGGCTTCATTGATCACAGCTTCCGTGTCTGATTTCCACCATTCACCTGCATTTCACATTCTCGTTTCGTTATTGCACGAGGAACTCTTTCTCCAAGTGACATTGCAGACATTATTGTTTCGTACCTAATACCACAACCACTTCTTTGTGGGGAGCTGGGAATGGGTAAGGAACACCCAGCTTGGGCAAAATGACGATGCCACCATGGACGGTAGCCCTTAGCCAGAGAATGTGTGCGTGCCAAAGAAGCGTTCCTCTTTGCCCCGTGACGGTGAAGTTATATAGATAGCTCTGCCCTGGCTGGATAGGGCATTGTGTGATGTATGCTGGTCCATCTGCCCAACCAGTTCTCAGCTGCCTGATTCCATGCCTGCATAGATATATTTTGAAAAAGGTAATGCTCCCTATTTATTTGTCCTTAGCTTCAAACTTAGCTTCCAGGATTTCTATGATTGTGTTCGCTCAACTTACCAGTGGATGGAAACATTGTAATTGACTTGGTTGACGACTCTCACTAGCACTGTATCATCTTCCCTAGCATATAGGGTTTGCCCCGGGAATCTGCCATTCACTGTAACAATTGGCTTGCTCGAACATAGCCTTGTAGTGCTTTTCATAACAACCTGAAAAAGCAACATTAGCAGTTGGATTGCAGTTTTAACGGTAGCTGCTGGTGACTTGAACTTCCTGTGCTTTTCAAGTCTGTCTCAATCTGAAATTGGCCTAAATAACTAACAGTGTCAATGAAAGTAATGGTGAAATGAGTCGAATGACGATGCTTACATTGAAATTGTAGCGACGAACTGCAGAGTCTACCAGAGCTGGAAGGAAGCAGACCAGAACGAGAAGGAAACGAAGAGAGGAACAAGCCATTGGGATGGCTGTCTGTTTCTCGCTTTTGATTTGCTAAGTGACTCCTGGCTTTGGTTCTCTCTACTTTGATGCTTTGCTTTGCTTTGTTCTGAATGGGTTACTCTCCACCGCAAACCTTATAAAGGAGGAGATCAATGGAGGCATGAACAATGCTGCTGCTGCTGCAGTCTGCAGATATGTCGTTGTTGTTCTGTTTGCTCTGATTTTTGCTTTTGATTTTGTCCCTTAAAGATTACTTTAAGTCAGTTGGGGTCTCTTCTTAGAGCAGTGTTTTGAATTTCGGGTAATCTTGGCGGCAAATGATGATTTAGTGGTTGAACTTGGAATTTAGAGTTCGATAATGCAGCTCCAAAATTTGGGTACCCACTGGCTGGCAGGAATGAAACCACTTCTCCTCTTGGTGTCGGTTCCTTCTGTTGAGATGTCCTAGTACTAGCAGATTACTGGTCATATTATAACGACCACCTAATTTTGAGAAGGGGAAAAAGGTCATTTAAAATAGAATATAGTTCAACTCAATAACATCATTATTTGACTAAAGAAGCAAACAATAATAAGAGATCCAACAACAGTTACTCGATTCATAAACCCTATCAAATTATATGTAAGCTTAAATGTTAATGATTGTTGTCGAGCTATTTTGCGCAAGTCCATCTTTCTATTGTGCTCCTTCAGAGCCTTGCCTTGAAATTATTGTAATTTAAATCTAAATCATTATTACATGTAGGGTAAGTAAGGGATCTTGTAAACCTTCGACCGTCCCATTATTTTCGGCATATGGCTCATCGAGACTTATTATTTTTGGTCCTCACCGTGAGGATGACCGTAATAGGTTAACCTTTTAACTGACGGTTAATAATTAGTTAAATTTAACAACTGAGAACCAACCATTTACTGTTTAATCTATTATTGATGTAATCATTAACCGCCCGTTCCAATTCGGTTATCAGAAACACCACTAGCAGATTTAGTAGGCCCAGTTGTTTCTTGGTTTAAGGCCAATTCTCCGAACGGGCAAGTCCAGTCCAACTACTGATGGCGTGGAGAAAAGACATCACTGGGCCGTTAGGCGTTAGCTCAATGGGCAGTCCAAATTACTTTATCCACAAATTTCCTCAGAGAGCAGCTCCTGTTATTTCTTACATTTCTGGACAGTTCCAGAAGCACCAAAAAACTCTGCCCCTCCCCCTGCCAGAAATTTCCAGTCTTTTCTTTCTTGTTCATCTCTAGGAAATGTCTATATTCCTCCCTTTATATACCACCGCTCTGCTTCCACCCCTTCGATTACTAGAACATTTATTCCTGTACAAAAAGCTTCCGACTTTGGCTCAAAGTTTTCATCTTTGTGACAAAATGTCTCAAGTCCTGTCAAATTTAGGCCTTTCCTTGCCTTCACCATCGAAATCGAGCTGTAATTCCCTGGTAAACCTGAAGAATTCTGGCAGCTTCAGCATCAAAGCCATGGCGCCAGATGGCAGAGATAATCTTGACCATTTGCAGAGAGTCAATCGCAACAAGCAGCAGCAGTCCAGAAGGAAAGTTGCTCCTCCTTCTGCTCCTGCAGGTACGTCAGAAGTTGTTCCTTTCTGTGTCAGTTTATTACTACTGTTGATTCATGCTCAATGATGAGCCTGTCCTCGACGAATCACTTGTCGCTGTGACATTTGCAATTGCAGGGCTATGGGACAGATTCCCAACGGCGAAAACAGTGCAACAGATGATGGAGACAATGGAGAGGCTAGTTGAAGACCCGGTTCTGTTAGCCTACTCGCCACCACCAGAACTGTTAATGGAGGATATGAGAGGAGGTTACAGCAGGGGGAGAACTCCATGGGAGATGAGAGAAGGCGAGAGCGACTACAAAATGAGGTTCGACATGCCTGGAATGACCAAGTCGGATGTCAGAGTTTGGGTTGAGGACAAGATGTTGGTTGTCAGGGCTAAGAAATCGGCAGCAGCCGGTAAGGATGGAGAAGTAGAGGGAGACAAAGGTGATGATTGGTCTGCTAAGAGCTATGGAAGGTATAGCAGTAGGATTGCTCTGCCTGAGAATGTTGAGTTTGAGAAGATTAAGGCTGAGGTTAAGGATGGGGTGTTGTATATAAGTATCCCCAAGGCTGGTTTGAGCTCCAAGGTTCTTGATATTCATGTTGAGTGATTTTTTTTTGTTTTTGTTTTTGTTTGTGACGGATGATTTGTAGAAAGAAGGGTTGTTGAAGTGTAATTAAGGTTTTTTGACCCACAATGTCTTACTCCAGCCTCCAGTCTATATTTACATAGTATATATGGTTCGGTCTGGGCCAAACGATTTTGTTTAATAGTAAATCAATGTTTTGTTAAAGTCATTGAGATTTCCTTAATGAATCTTTTTCATAAAAACAAACTATAATTATGTACAAAATTTGTTCACTTGGAATGTTTCATGATGGAGTTTAGTATCTTTACCATGTTCCATCTCAAATATAATGTGCTCTTCTTAATCCGAGAAAGGGTAATTTTGTCTTTGAACCTTCACTTTATCCAATTTTATATGCATCTTTTTTTAATCATATGTTGAGGTTAAATTGTCATTTTCGAAACGATAAATCATTTAATTAATTACATACAACTCATAACGCTTTTAATTTCCACTCTCTCGTCAATACATGCTGTCACACATTTTCATAATGAAAATAGTTAATTGTCTTCACTACCTATATTTTCCTTAATGAAGACAAAACAACTAATTGTGGACACAACACGCTGCTAATTCGTCATTTTTTAGATTACTTATTCTCTGCACTACCTATATTTTCCTTTTCTATATATCTTTCCTTTCCTTTCCTTTTATATTATTCCCAATTGAATAAATAAATTCAAACTTTGTGGACCAAAACAGAAAAGCCAACAGGGTGAAGTAGCGCCTCACAACGGCATTCTTCAAGATATGGTTTAAATGTCTATATCGTCACCGTAATTCGAAGTCTATACCAAAATACCCTTTGTGTTTCCACATGCAACAGTGGTTGAGAAACTTTGATACAGGCCAAATGCAACGGAGCCGAGAAAACTCGTTCAAAGCCACTTTAAGTACAAGATAGTCGTTCAACCAAAACACTTGACAAAACAACTTGGTTAGGTGGTTTGTGAAGAATGAACATATTTTGCATTATCTCATCTGGAAATTTCATTAGTTCGACCGAATTAACGATTCAAATAAATTTAGTTATATCATTAAAATGGATCGAACAATCCATCAGTTCCATACGTAACCACTCAACCATTCCTTTCAAAACCAGCTCAAAACTTCTTTACGTATCCTGGTTCATGAACAATCCACGAACTAGAAAAGAATGATTTTTATGCACTTTTAATCTGTTTACCAAAATAACCCACACAGCAGACGAGACGAACTGGAAAGGGATTGAGAAAGGGTGCCTTTTTGTTGAATGTTTATAGTTTAGTGACCATTTTATGACTTAACCCTTAGATAGATTTAATCTAATGAACAAAACTTGGAAACCAGAAATATTGAATGGAATAAAAAAAAAAACTAGACGTTAGAGCACGTGGGCCCCACATTTGTAGAGAGTGGTTCCCTCCAACCCCAACGTTCATTTTTCTGTGGATTCAGAGCTCGGCAAGTGTTTAATGGCAGTGCCATTGATGGAAAATTAGTCAAATTCGTTACCCTTTTTCTTCTTATTACTACTACTCATTTTTATTATTTACACCACAAAGAAACGGCAGAATTCATCATCGTCGTTAGATTTAATTCCTCACTCGCTCCTCACCTCAGTGAGAGAAGAGAGACTGAGCCTGTAAAGCGAAAAAGCTGCAACCTTTTTTTCAGTCCTACAATCAAGGTTCCCACAAATTCAAAAGTTTGAATCTTCTCAAAGCTATTTGTTTTCCAAGTTTTGAAAAGCAGGCAGGAAGAAGAAGAAGAGAGAGGAAGAGTGGTGAAAATGGCGGAGTCTGGAGCTTGTCTAATGAGATCCTTCACTCACCCATCCAATTCACTCCGCGAATCTCAAGAGGTTAGATTTGAGTTGGGTTATCTGTTTAATGAAGTGGGTTATATTCTGTTTCTCGAGTTCTCCCATTGAAATCTGAAAGTTGGGTGCTTGATTTTGCTTCACCCACTTTGCTAGGTCTCGCTTTGAAATTTGAATTGTTTCAGTTTCAGGGGGACACTTTTAGAGCACTGACGGACTCGGTCTCATTTGGGAGATTCATGTCGGAGTCATTAGCTTGGGAGAAATGGTCTACTTTCTCACACAACCGTTACTTGGAGGAAGTTGAGCAGTTCTCCAAACCGGGCTCCGTTGCTCAGAAGAAGGCCTTCTTTGAAGCGCATTACAAGAAGAGAGCCGCCATGAAAGCTGCAGCAGCAGTAGCAGAAGCCACAACTGAACCAGTAGCTGCCCCTGCTGTTGCTAATGAAATCAGTACTGTTTGTTCTAGTGATGTGAGGATTTCGGTTTCAGTTGTTTGTCCAGTTGATGATGTGGTTATGGCGATTGAGGAGCAGCAGAATCGTGGAAATGACTCAGAAGAAACAAGTAGCTGTGGTGATGAGGATGTGATGGACAATTCAACAACATCTGTGGAAGAAGATCAGCACATGATTGTTAAAGAACCAGAAGTTGAGCTCGATGAGGAACAAAATCAGGTGGAAACTACCCAGCAGGTAGAGAATGCTGATGAGATGAAACAAGTAACGCCAATTATCAAGGTGAAGAAGAGAGCCATTGACCAGCTGTTTTTAATCTCTTGGTGTGTTTGTTTGTCCTGTTCTGTTTTTTTTCTTAATGAATTGTTTGCTCAACAATCAGGAAGCTGCTGCTGAACTGGAGGATGTGGATATACAAAGTAACAAAAGAAGGAAGAGCTCGGCTTCATCATCGAGTAAAAGTGGAACAACAACTACAATTACTACATCAAGATTCTCAATCTCAAAGTCTGCTGCTAAACAAAAGACAAGTTCATCATCCCACACGAAAGCTGGAACCAAGAAGACTGTTGGTGTTGGGGAAGAAATGTCAGTTGAGAAGAAGAGAACAGCACCAAAGGCTATCCATATGTCCATAAATTTCGCTTCTAAGTTGTGGGAAACTGGTAAAAGTTCCCTTAGGAAGCCTAGAGAACTTGCAACTGCTCCAAAGAATGCTGCACCAAAGGTAGAGTGAAAAAAAGTTCATGCTTCTTTGTTTCTAACTCATAGATCTCGTCTGTGCTTATGTTGGCTTACGTTAATTCCAGGCATCTGTTCATCAAGACCAATCAAAGCTCCGCGCTTCATCTATGATGGCTAGAGAACTTCCACCTGCTCCAAAGATTGCTGCAACAAAGGTAGAGTGAATAATAGGTTATGCTTCTGTGTTTCGAGATCATTTATCTTTATGTACTTACGTTGGCTTACATTGATTCCAGGCATCTGATAATCAATCAAAGCTCCGCGCTTCATCTGTGTTGGCGAGAGACCTTGCAACTGCTCCAAAGAATGCTGCGACAAAGGTAGAGTGTATAATAGTTCATGCTTCTGTGTTTTGAGGTCATTCATCTTTAAGTGCTTACCCTGGCTTTACATTGATTCCAGGCATCTGTTAATCATGACCAATCAAAGCTTTCTGCTTCTTCTACTCGTCAAGAAGATGATAGAAGGTGAGTTCTAAATGTCAACGACCAACCATTCAGCTCTTTGGTCTAATATAAGGGCTAGTTGATTGATTCAGGTCACTTTTTTACAGCAGCAACTCGAAAACTTCTGGTACAAGTGGAAGCAAAGCTCGTCCGCCACTACTGTCATCTCCTTTCAGCTTCAGGAGTGAAGAAAGAGCTGCCAGAAGAAGAGAGGCAAGATACTTACTACTGAGTCTATGATGGCTGCTTTTATTGATCTCTTGTCAGAATTATGTCAAAAGTTCTGATCTTGGAAGTATCGTTTTCATTGTTTGTAGATCCTGGAAGAGAGAAACAAACTCAAGGAGGCAGAAAAACTGCAGTTGCAAGCAAAATCCAAGGTTTGTTTTGGTTCCTTCTCTTTCTGAACTAAAGCATTATTTGAGTTGAATTTCTAAGGCATTGACTAATGACTCTTACTTTGACTAATAGGAGAAAAATGAGCATTACATGAGAAGTCTGAGACAAAGTACTACTGCTGCTTTCAGAGCAAGACCGATTGAAGATTCAGGTTCTGGATCACAATCATTCATGAATTCCCACACAAGGAAGGTGGGTTGGTTAACATTCACTTTTTTCACTTCTCGGAACAACAAAATTGTTATCATTACAAATCAATTTCCTCTCCTGTGCATTTCTCAGCTACAGATCCCCTTGACGAGACCTCGCTCCCCAAAACTCGGAAGGAAACCATCCCCTGGTGTTTCAATGACTTCGGATAGCTCCAAAAGTGTTGTTCCAAAGAATCGGCCAAGCACAAATCGTTCATCAGTCAGTATACTACCCAAGAGAAAAACGCACGAGAATGCCTCGCCAAACATCCAGCTTTGAATTCGTTGATCTCTCTCACTGCATCAATGGAGTGTTTGCTATTGTGCATATGTATTTGTTCTCATTTGTAATTACTCGCTGGGAAGAGAGAAGCAGAAGGTACTTCAATTATACAGCACCAGATTGAAAGTTACTTATATTTGGATATCAGCTGCAGATAAAATGAGTTTTGGGACTACTACTATTTTGATTGAGTAAATTGTATTATGCTAAATGGAAGAACTACATCAAATTTCTTCTGGTTTTCCTGTCTAGCATTGTCATATCATCAAAGAAGGCACAGAATGAACCAACACCATAATACATAAAAATCATGGCAATATACTATTTTTCATCTGGCGATGCTTTAACAACATAGAATTGGTCGAAGGAAATCCTACTAGAGAGCAGTAAGCTTATTATATACCTCTAGAGGTTTCTCTCATCAACCCTTTATGCCAACTGATGTCAGCATTCAAAAAGGAGAGCATCCAGAGACAAAGTTCATCATGATATAAATAAGCCTTGATCTATTAGCTGACATTCTGTTGGGTCATAGAGATTATTCTCACGATCAAACCTTGTTGCATCAAATAAGTTTATTTGATCTTCATAAACCAGACCCGGGTCTAAGTACTCCGGAAATCCCATGTTTTGGAGTCCTAGACTCGAGCCGCCTTGGATCAAAAAGAGTTGCAAGTCCTCGTCCAACACAGGATAAGGCAATAACCCCAAGTTTGGCCCTCTCTGCATGCTCTCAAAGTTAGGAATGCAGCCCAAATCGAGACACTGATTTTTGGCGGTTGAAGAGGTAGTAGCAGGAATCTCATCAACAACTTGGTGCTGACTTGTCGTCGTATGATTCATTGTCTGGATAGCGCTGCTGGAGCTGACTATTTCGCCTGCTTGTATATGCTTGACATTGTTCCACAACTCCCCATGTAAGGGCTCAACTTTCTCAGGTATCCCAATAGCTCTGGAACTAACAGCTGCTGCTGACGATAAACAGTTGAGTTTGATAGGTTGTTGGTGGTGCCTAGGCAATGCTGGCTGCTGCCTGAATCCATGGTCCAAATGCAGAGGTTTCTGTTCTTGTTTCAGCTGAATCTCTGCAGTATGATCACCCCAGGGAAATGGTGTTGAGAATGAAGAATCCAAAGCCGAAAACTTCCCATCTAATTTGGAAGATCGAGAGGGATGGCTAAAATCGATTCTTGATCCTTTGGGCATACGTGTAGGAGGAACGTCAACAGTTAAGGTTCTTTGAGGTTCTGCCAGGGCTAAAGAGACAGTTCCCTTTCGGTCTCTGTGGCTTCTACTACCCTCCACGTTCACGGTATTGCCAGAAAACTCATAGTTGGCACTCGAAACATCATTCTGCTTCAAGTTGGCCGAGCTTTGGATGTTGAAACTTACAGCGGAATTGCTACAAGCTGAATCTGATGAATGCTTCACCCCACCAACAGATGGCTTCTGATCACTTTCCTTCTGCAGTCTGCTCAAGTAGAGCCGGTATTTCTGTCCACATACTGAAATGAGAACTTCCACACTACTCCAAAATATTAGGAATATCAAGCTAGTATATATGAAGTATACCTGCAAATGACTTGCAACATTTTCCCTAGTCAACCATGGCACATTCATCAAGTCGAGGATTTTCTTCGGGCCAACTTCTGCCAAACAGACGTATTACATGTCATGGCTCTGTAGAAAGCATGATAAAGTTGAAAGAGGCTATATCATTGAAAGCTTCATAACGACAAAGAAACAAGAAACTCAACCGAGAAAAAATTTCATGTGGTTAAGCAAACACACTTACTGTCATATCCTATTTGATTCACAGCCCTGACAAATTTCTGATGCAGGTCAACAGACCAAACTACTCTAGCTTTTTTGTTAGAGGAAGTATCCCCCAGGTCTTTGTCGTCTTTTCTCTTCCTCATCGAGGAGAGATCATCTCCACAGAATAAGTAAGCATCTTCCGATTGATCCGAACCATTTATAGATGACATTTGAATGCTCTCGATCCCCTCGAGACTCTCGATGTCTCTTACCTCGTGTAACCTTTTGCGAAGCACGTGCTGCCAGATGTTCCTCAGTTCTTTCATTCTTATGGGCTTTAGGAGATAATCGCATGCTCCATGTTGAACACCTTTCATCACTCGACTTGTTTCTCCATCAACCGACATCACTGTGAAGAAACAACACACAGAAGCCCTGGGTCAAGTTGTAGATAATGAATGGAGTAGGGTACAAGTAAATGGGACGAGATAGGGGAACTGACTGATCACGGGAAGATCCATCTCAAGGCCGACGTGTTCTAGAAGTTTGAAGCCATCCATGTCAGGCATGTTCACATCGCTGATTACAATGTCATATCCATCTTTCCTCTCGCGAAGCTTGAGGAGTGCGTCTCTTGCTAAGCCACAGGTGGTGACTAAAAAGGGCATATAACAAAAAACCAAATGAATGTCAGCCTGGGATTTAGTTTCACCTACCTATGAAGCAGTTATTCTTTTCTTGATCTTGAAATCCAATCCAGTGAAGAGAGCTCAAGGAGGGAGATTGAAAATCAAACTCCTAGGACATGCCACTTATTTCTGGTAGTTTAATACTAATAAAAAACATGAAGTTCAGACTTGGATCACAAGGACCATTCTCCAGCCATCAGTGTGGACTTCAACTGCAGAATCCCAAACAGTCCTTTTTTAAGTATTGAACAGCTTCTATGATGATTCTAAATCACAAAAGCATGCCAGCTCCAATAATAGTCATCATAGCTCCCCTCAATAATTCATCTAGAATCAGAAAGATGATCATTCCCTTAGAGACCCTGATAGGAAGAGACTTACTCCTTAGGATGTGAACCGAGTAGAAAAGTAACCAATTTGCCAAGAAGAAAGTTCGCTTCTCACTGGCTTCACTTCTCGATTGACTCCAATCTCAAACTTTAACCATTAAATGCCTAGACTTTCTATACTACCTTCAAAACAGTTCACACACATGACATGCTTATTGGAAAGATCTCATTTTCAAGGACAGAAAAATAGAAAAGCAGCAAACTTTGAACTTCCATGGCTACTATCACCCAAGTAGAAAAAGAAACCACCAAGACTCCAAGAGAGAACCCACATGGCAGAAACTCCCAAAACAGAGGCAACACCTACTAAAAGCCAAGAAAGAATAGAACTTTAACGAGAGTAGGAAAACAGCGCTGGTCCAGAAACCAGAGCAAAAGAGCTGAACCTTCGTAGGAGCATTTCTTGAGCATCTTCTCAAGGATTTTGAGCCAGGTAGGATCATCATCAACAACCAGAACTCGAAGGCCAGCAGGGAAAGCCTCGGTTCTGGGAGAAGAGAAGCCATTCTCCATCATTGAACCCCCAGACAAAAAAAAAGAACGACAAAAGGGAAGATCACTCTCTCTCCCTCTCTAAGGAACAGATAGACAAGGAGAAATTCTGGGAAAGGGAAAGGATGTTTGTGGGGGTGGCTTTTTAAAGCATTGAAAACAAAGGAAAGGGAAGGCAGAGAATTTCTTCTGGGTTTGTCATTGTGTGGAGTGAGGGGATTGGAAGGTCTTACTATGCCTTTGAAGCTTAGAGATCAGGAAAAAAGGGATAGAAAAAGAAAGAAAGCAGCGGAAACACTGACCAAATTTTTTGGGGGAAAGGAGAAAAAGGGGAAAAGGGTGAAGGAAGGAAAGAAAGACGAATACTTTGGCGCCGGCTTGGAGCTTAGAAGAGGGGAACCGAATAAGAAATTGGCTCCATGAATCACTGTGGCAGGCAGTGCAAGTTAGCCAAGTAGCCTCTGGCCCTCTGGTTCTGTTTAGGCCTTATTGGCCAGTGTGGCATTTTGTTTTTTTCCATCTTTTGGGTTTCTTTCATTCTTTTCCTTCTGTTTTCTTTCCCTAAATGGAACGCCCCTGTTGTCTCTTTTCTTATTCTCCATTGAAGTACCACCAACTCAACTGATAGATATGAATGAATGATTTAATAGTGATCCCAGTCTGCAGTGCGTTTGGTGGAGCTGTGAGCTAGAGGACATTGATTGAAGTAGGACACAAACACTCCATGATTACACAGCCAAAACTAAGAAGTACACACACCGCTGTCTTATAAATCCTGAAGTGGTATCCTAGTATATTGTCGACTTGACAAAATGTTGTTGGCATAAAAATTTAGAGAAGCCGAGGAACAGTGGGTTCTGACGATGTAAATATATTCCAAGTCTTAACTATTTTATCATAAAGATAACTAAGAGATGTGAATGTGATGTTACAGTATGTAATGTTGAGCGAGAAGAAAACTCAGGATTTTGCCACAATCTCATACAATGTGAGATTTTGACAAAATAATTCGTTTGGATGGATAAAAGATTTGGACATTAGAGATTTTAAAAATATGCAAAGTGTGATTTTTTTTAATATATGTACACCCTTCAACTATTTCAAAATCTCTCACTCACTATTATTTTCTTCCAATTATGTAGTTCTAAATTTTATTAAACCCCCAAAATACCCTATTAATCATTTGTCTCTCTTCAACTCTTTTATCATTTCCTTCGACTATTCTCCCTCTCCTTCTCTCTTCATCTCTTGCCTCTCCTCCGATTACTAGGTTTCTTAGTTTTTTTAACTGACCAGACATCAATAACTATTTGTAATTCATTGGTACTCGTCCCCCAATTTTAAAAAAGTTTAGTGGTATTTGAAGCAGATCCGATCAGGAATCAATTTTGCATAACCATCAGTAATCACCATCAACCATCATGAGAGACCTGTAACTTTACCCGTCATTAATTCTAACGGGCTATATCATGTTCGTTTTAAGTCGTAATTTAATTTTTTGCACAAAAAATCAAATTAATTGTATTATTCAAAATGATATTCACTTTAACATATTTAAAAAAAAATTAAAATATATGTTACCAGTCTATACCATGGTGGAATGTTTGGTAGTACATAAGATTATACAATAGTGATATGAATATATCATAATGTAGAATGGTTGTATATTCATTATAGCAGAGTTCAAGTAGATGCAATTCCGCGTACGACTAGGCACTGGGCAGTGACAAAATGCCTCGCTTGTGCCCTAGGCAGACAATTAGTGTTCGTAACGCCTAAACGATGCTTAGGAAAATTGTGGCTAATCTTCCCAAAACCACACCATCTCTAGTTGTCCTATATTCAACCCACCCTTCACTCATCCTCGATTTGGAATTGCAATTCGAGGTCATGACATCTTTTCATTACTATTGAGGGTTAGCTAACTTATTAATCGTGTGAAACTTAAAAAACGTAAAAACGTGTTGTAAATTTTATTTCTACTAAAACCCGCTACTTTTGCTAAAATGTCTACGCATTGTCTAGACATCGCTTAAGTGTGCTAGGGGCTAGGCAGTGCCCCAACGCTTGTCTAGCGCCGTCTTGAACCTTACAAGAAAGTAGAAATATACTAATTGTCATTTACCATCTTTGATCACCTTCTACTACTAGTTATCACTCTATACCAGGGTGGTATAAGCTTATATATTTGGTCCTGAAAATTTCCTCTGAAAATTGCGGACACAATATTTCACAATGACCATGTTCCTTATCTGTAAAATCTTCAAATTTTGAGTTAAAAGCGAAGGTGATACGGAGTGATACAAGTGGTCATGGGTGGTAAAAAAAATTCTCGACATATATTGAAAATAAATATTATGTTGTAGATTATAACGGACTCGTTCCATCTGTGAATAAAATTGAAATCCAAATTAAAGAAAAAATTACAAGCTAATTAAAAATATAAAAAAAAATTAATCTCACTATCTATATCTGGCTCCACTCAAAATTAAGACATCATATTTGATTATGGATAAATACATAGTCATATATTATACATCTTTTGGCAAACAACAATTTTATGAGTCCAGTAGTAGAATTTCCCTTTTGTCGACACCCTTCAACAACATGAAAATAAAATTACACTATACTGGTGGTTAAAAAACGTAAATAGAGATAGTGGAGAATGAATGGAGTAAGAGGACAATGATTGATTTATAATTTTAATATCCATAAGCATTGTTTGGGACTTAAATCATTCCTGCAATATGGTTTAACTTTGTTCACATTGATGCTGCACTAGAAACTCCTACCACCTTTTATCTTCTTTTTCTTTCTTAATTACTTAATCTCTGAACAGGTGTCTAATTTTTAACCCTTGAAAGCTACAGAGTTCACTAAAGTTCAAAGCCAGGCTAAGTTCCAAGTGCTCTTCGACAAATCCATCCCTTTCACTCCCCATTACCAGAACCATATATACCATAGAAATTCTTAATTAGGTGAACTTACCACATTAGAGAATTCTATTTAGCCGAATCACACACATTATTATGACCTCTACCAAAAGATGGAACCCTAAACATATTCACCACTCTCCACAAGAATTTTATTTATTTCGGATCAACTCGTTAATAAACAAGTCAAGTTCAAGTTCAAGTTCGAGTTCGAGTCGTCTATTGAAATTTTGGCTCTTGTTTGAGTCAAGTTCGACTAGATTTTGTCTCATAAGTGAGCTCACAAGCTCTACCAGAGAATGACTCAATCTAATTAACATACTTTGTTGGTATATTTCATCGTATATGTGTCAAATAATCAAAGCTGAAAAGTAAAGAACACCAAGATTTTTTAACGTGGTATCGTCAGTATGACACTAGTCCACGGAGAGGATCTCCCTCTCAGGTTTTAGGTTTTCTTATTTCGTTAAGTCTCCAGTACAGTTTACAGAGATATATATAGGTTGTGAATACAACCCTTATTCGGAGTGGCTATTTACAATGTGGTACCTATAATTAACACCCTCCCTCAAATTGATGTTGGGTACGCAACATCAATTTGCCTGATAGGTACCAGTGATGACTAGAAGATACCGCCTTGGTAAGAATGTCTGCGGTCTGATCTTCTGTATTCAGATAGCTGATTTGTATTGTCCCTTCTGCAACCAGTTGACGAATATAGTGCACATGAACTTCAATGTGCTTCGTACGATCATGCAGAACAGGATTAATCGCTATCTGAATTGCACTTGTGTTGTCCCCATGAAGCCGCATAGGCAACTTACATGCAACGCCTAACTCAAGGAACAACCGCTGCAGCCACACCATCTCGGAACTCACCTCAGACATAGACCTGTACTCTGCTTCAGTCGAGGATTTAGATACCCTCTCCTGCTTGCGACACCGCCAGGAAACAAATGCCTTACCAAACCGAACACACCATCCTGACGTGGATCTCCTCGTATCCAAACAACCTGCATAATCAGCATCAGCAAAGGCCTCAATCTCTGATGCTCCCCCAACGGGAAAGAACAACCCAACTTCCCTGGTGTGCTTAAGATACCGGAGAAGACGATGAACTGCATCCAAGTGTGATGTGCGAGCCATACCCACAAATTGACTCAAAACCTGAACTGAATAGGCAATATCAGGGCGCGTATGAGTAAGGTAGATTAAACTGCCTACTATACTGCGATAGAAAGCCTGGTCTTCAAGAAGAACTCCACTGGATCTACTCAGCTTCAAGTTCTGCTCCATAGGTGTGGCACAAGGCTTGCAATCGGTATATTGCGTGGCCTCCAACAAATCAGTGATATATTTCTTCTGGCACACAAGAATGCCCGACGAAGACTGCTGAACCTCGAGACCAAGAAAATAAGAGACCAAACCCAGCTCTTTAAGATTAAAAACAGTATGCAGATGCTGAGTAAGTTCACTAATATTGTCCCTGTCATCCCCTGTAACAATCATGTCATCTACATAGATCAGAAGTACCGTGATCCCATGAATAGTTTGCCAAATAAACAAAGAAGGGTCGCTGTTGCTCTGGGTGAATCCTGCCTGCAAAATTGTACTATGAAATTTATCAAACTAAGCTCTAGGAGCTTGCTTTAACCCATACAATGAACGATTCAGTTTGCAGACCAGATTGGGATTACCCTTGGCATAACCAGGAGGACACTCCATGTAAACCACCTCCTTCAAATCTCCATGGAGAAAAGCATTCTTGACATCTAGTTGATGTAGAGGCCAAGATTTACTTGCAGCAACAGCTAACACACTGCGAACAGTAGGCATTTTTGCAACAGGAGCAAAAGTCTCATCATAATCGATCCCAAATTCCTGCCCAAAACCTTGTGCAACCACCCGTGCTTTGAACCGCTCAATCGTACCATCCGGGTGTACCTTTATATTATAAACCCAGCGACTGCCAATAACTAACATCTCGGGGCGACGGGGAACTAAGTCCCAAGTGTGATTAGCTTCCAGAGCTGTAAACTCCTCATTCATCGCGGCATTCCAGTTTGGGTCGTCCTTTGCGTTGCGATAATGCTTGGGAATAAGGATGGATTCGGTAGAGAAACCCACACAATCATAATCAAGCAATCTACATGGCGGTTGTCCCTGGGTGTTGCGCTGGGATCGGCGAAGCACAGGTAATGGCGGAGGTGATGCTTCCATATGATCATGCGAAGAAGAACCTGCTGCTGAATGAGAATGAGTTGCAGAATGGGAGGCGTCTGTATTGGATGAAGAGGAAACAGTACCAGTTGAGGAGGAGGAGACACCTGGAGTGGAAAGGGCCGATGGGGAAGCTTCAGAATATGAAGGGGAATTATTATGGCCCGCCGAGGGAGTACTAGGAGGAGAAGTGTCCGAAAATCCACTAGGTTTATCATCATTTTGATCCGGGTTTACTTGGGCAGGTATATCATCAAACGACGGTAGTCTAGACAAGAAATCCAAAGAGTTGTCATCACCCGAACGATCATTAACCGGATAGTGCATTACCTGCTCCAAGAAGACAACATGGCACGAAATACGCATCCTGCGAGCAACAGTATCATAGCATAGATATCCTTTATGTTGTTCACTATAGCCCATAAAGACACATCTAGCTGTTTTCGGATCAAGTTTACTCCTCTCCTTCTTTGAAAGAAGAACAAAGCACACGCATCCAAACACACGAAGGAAAGAGTATGCTGGCTGCTTGTGATATAGCAAGTAATAGGGACAATGATTACCAATGGTGAGGGACGGTTGGCGGTTGATCAGATAGACAACAGTTTTGACTGCTTCAACCCAGAAACTACGAGGAACATGAGAGTGAAAGAGAAGTGCTCTAGTCAACTCAAGAACATGACGATGCTTACGCTCGACAAGCCCATTCTGCTGTGAAACTCCAGGACATGACTGTTGAGACACAATTCCCTGCGTCTTATAGAAATCAATCAATTGATTCGTACTAAACTCTCCACCTGGATTGGATCTGATAATCTTCACTGTGGTCTTGAATTGAGTTTGAATCATACTAATAAATTCCTTAGCATATGAAATAAGCTCGGACTTCTGACGCAGAAAGTACACCCACGTGTACCTAGTTGCATGATCAACAAACAGAGCGAAATACCGATACCCCATACGAGAGGTAACCGGCGACGGACCCCACAAATCTGTATGAACCAAATCGAAAGCAGATTCATAGATAGTGGTGCTTGATGAAAAGGTAGACTGAGAAGCCTTGGCTTCAATGCAACTAACACAAGCAGAAGGAGACATTGAAACTGAAGAATCCATTCTATCAGGCAATAAATTATTCCGAAACATACTGTATAAACGAGCAGTATGAGGGTGACCCAATCGACAATGCCACAAATCCCAAACCGAGGCCTTAACAGAAAAATCCAACCGTTTAACTGAACATCCGATAGACTCATGAAAAGAACAAGAAGAAATTGATGGTGCTTCAGGTCTGGCTTGTGTTGAGGTCAGCCGCAGCTCATCAGAAGTCCCCTGTCGCTGATACTGATCCAGCACAAAAACCCGACCCTTCTTACTTCCCGTCCCTATCACCTTCCCGGTCCTCTGATCCTGCACAACACACCCATCGGAATTAAAAGTGACCTTACAGCCTTCTTCTGCTAACTGTCCAACGGAAACAAGACTGGGGACCAACTCCGGGACATAAAGAGTATTAGGAAGAGTCACCCCAGGAGTGACCGCAGTACCCGACCCAGTCACAGGAAGCTTAGCACCATTAGCCACTTGCAAAGTAAGAGGGGCGGTGGACTTAAGTGCTGAAAAATGCCTGTGCGAGTTCGTCATATGGTTAAAGGCAGCGGAGTCAAGTAGCCAGCGAGAAGATTTACCTGAAGTAGCCCCAGTGGCGAAAGCAGAGTTCAGAGCTGCAGGCAAAACATCCTGAAGGGCGTCTTGGACGAGCTTGCGAACTGCTTCCGAGGACAAAGAAAACCCGCCGCCAGTAGAGGAGTCTGACGAACTCGGCGGAGCTGGTTGGACAGCATAGCTAGACCTGGACGGACGACCAGCAGCCCCACTAGCCTTCTCACCGCGGCGGCCACGACTCTTCTTCGCGGGACAGTCCGATATAATGTGCCCCTAGGTTTTCCAATAATTGCAGAAGTTTCGCTTGGGGCACAATGGCTGGATGTGCCCGGGTTCATCGCAATAATGACAACGAATCTCCCCGGAATGACCCTGCTGAAATTGGGGACGGGAAGCTCCAGACTTATTCACTGCAAAAGCCGAACCACCAGAAGCATCCAGGCCGGCCTGACTTTTCAGGCGAGTTTCTTCGCGGACAAGCTCCGCAAAGGCAGCATCAATCGTGGCAATATTTCGATGAAGAAGGGAAGCGCGCACAGCCTCAAATTCAGGCCGCAACCGCATTAGAAAATGCATGAACCGCGATTGACTTCTCTCCTTAATGATGTCAGCCGAGAGAGCATAGGGCGTTAGAGACGCCATGAGTAAGTCATATTCAGTCCACAGTTGGAGAGCATCCTTATAATAGGTACGGACATCATTATCACATTGGGAAAGAGAGGCAAGCTGGGTTTCCAGCTCAAATTGGCGTGAAGCATCATACTGGGAATGGATGGAACAAATATGTTCCCACATCTCGTGTGCAGAGGAAAATCGACGGAGACCTAACGCAGTGGCCGTATCCACCGAACCAAGCAACCAGTGAGTAACCTGGGCGTTTGCAGCTGCCCAGTCATCCCGATCTTTCACAGGAGCATCATCGGCAGGATTGGCATACTTGCCATTCAGAACGGGCAGCAATCGCTTACCCTCCACTAGCGTACGGAACTGAAACTCCCAAAGGGAGAAGTTCGTTCCGTCGAACTTGACCGAGACTGCGTCAAGGTTGGAAGAATCCATGGGACAGCAGGTACAAATAATCAATTGCAGCTGAAGAAAGTGCCGCAGCAGAAGAACCAACGATCACCAGAGAGTTGTGTGCGACAACCCAAAGCCAGGCGTGATCCAGAAACAGTGAAGATCACCAGAGGAGTTGGCGGCGGCAACCCTAAACCAGATGTGATCAATAACCTGGACTAAACCACAGGGAAGAAATCAACGAGCTTCAATTGAGAGGCTCTGATACCATGTCAAATAATCAAAGCTGAAAAGTAAAGAACACCAAGATTTTTTTAACGTGGTATCGTCAGTATGACACTAGTCCACGGAGAGGATCTCCCTCTCAGGTTTTAGGTTTTCTTATTTCGTTAAGTCTCCAGTACAGTTTACAGAGATATATATAGGTTGTGAATACAACCCTTATTCGGAGTGGCTATTTACAATGTGGTACCTATAATTAACATTATGATGCATGTGATTAATGTCGTGATGAAGAAGACAAAAGAATGTTGAAAATTTATAATATTTGATTTTCATCAATAATTGATCTCGTATTAATATACTTTGTTGGTTTCATATTAGATATTTCATAAATTTAATTAATTTATAACATGCTATCTTAAAGTAATTAGTATATAAGCAATCTATGATACCTAATTTTTCTTTTAGATTAGAAATGAGACATGTCTGTCCACATACTCAAAGAGTTAAACATCATATATGATGAGATATAGAATCTAATAAGTCTATGAATTATCAACAAGCCAACTAAAGATGTCAGTTTCGACTTGACCCAATTTACCAGACATGTTTGATCTGTTATGGGGCTGATAATGCCGCCTCATTCTCAGCCTATTTTTGCCTAAACTAAATGTAATTTTACTCAAATAACTTAAAATTTTACTTTAATTACCTAAAATTTTAGCTATAATAAAATTGTAAATGTGTGAAAACCTATACTTTCCGAATAATTTAACTACATTTATTATTTTATAGTTTGTTACTTGATTCTTTTAATGAAAAAGTAAATGTTTGTAATGTTCTCCCTTTAAATTAATATGAGTCGACCTGCTCCCAATAATAAATTAAACGACATGCACCCGACCTACCACGAGGCTGGTATGGATAACAAGATACCACCCCAACCTATCTCGTTGGTCATTCCTAAAGCCAACTCATAAGTTATAGATTGAGTCACAAATAAACTGTAAGTCGAGCTGGCTAATTAGCAATTCTGTAGAGGTAACTTATGAACACAAAATGAGCTCTGTCACGAGTTGAGTTCAACAATCCACCAAATCAAGTTGCCTCACAAGGCTTGTAATTTGAATAATGTTGAGCTCTAACTTAGCTCGTGAGCAAAGGCCGTGTATTGAATAAAATCTTCCCGAACCAAACTTCAAACCGCCCATAAACAATTCGACTAATTTACAGCCTACAATAGAAACCATTACAAAATTCTGACATCCATTACTAAGTCTGACGCCAGAACTCATGACCAATGAAAACATATGGTAAATCAACCCCTTATAATTCCAGCACCCTTTCTTGTGTTCTTAATCCGTATTACTATATTAAATTCCACAAAAGCTAGAGTACACCTAAACCATTTCTTCCCCCCACAAAGCAAATGTTCATGTTCTAAAATGGATTATTGACCAACAAACTTAAAAATGGGCACTAACTTGGTGACTCCAGCCCTTGAGCCTCTCAACACATGACATGCAATCTCCTGATCTAAGCCCCTAAATTCTATATATTACTCCACTCACTCACTCACTCACTAAGCCTAAGAATAAATTATATATTGGTGAAAAGCTTTTGTCCCTCGTGAAAACAACGGCCATGTTCAATCGTTGATTGTGGACACAAAAGAAAGATACAACCAACCAAAAGCAAGGTGGAAGTAAAAGAGATAAAAGGTCACAATTGATGAACAATTGCCTCCAATGTTATGGTATGATGATAAGGTAGCATCTTCTTTAAGCACCATAACTATAATAATTTAACAATGTTTTCTGTTCGCACTAAATTCATGTCCAGGTACATAGGTAAAAATTTAACGAAAAGAAATGAGTTTTGGCGTCTGGTTTAGATATAAGCATGTTACTTCGTAGCTAATCAAATGAGTGATGCCATTATACAACAATAATTGTGTGTCAATCGTTATTGTATTTTTTTCTGTTCATCCAAAGGGTTTGCGCTTATTGTGCTAATTGAGGTTTCAAGACATGAATGGCTTAAAGGTTTGCTTTTTAGGAGTGGGGTAGGAAAAGAGTTATTTATTTATTTTTTATTGTATTGAGGAGCTTAAAATGGCTTTAAAAGGAAATACCCACTATCATAAACTTTATTTTAACATAAAGGGAATTCCTTTTAATTTACTTATTAGGGAAAAAGAAAGAGGGAAGAAGAAAATGGATTACATGATAGATGAAAAGATTACTAAAATAATTTTTTTTTAAATAATTCTAGCAAGGTGGATGAACTCCATGCAACTTATCTTAAGTGGAGGCTTGCTTTTTATTTAATTAATACAAACAAAAAGGTTAATAGAATATAGTGTAGCTTCTCTTGCTAAATAGCCTCCTATGATGCTCCATATGTGCTTTCATATTGTCCCTTGCTTTGTCTAAATTTAATTGGGCTATATTCTCGATTTCCAGTCATAAAATTATTCAAATATTGTGAATTTTAGATCAGAACAATTTTCACTATCTTAAGGGTTTAAAACAAGTGGAGAATTTCTTCCTTCTCCCCTTTTTAAGTTGATGGAGCTTACTATACTAATAATTTCACTATGGATTCTCTAGAAAGATGCTGAATTAAGCAATAAGTAGTTTCTTATTTGGAATATGCCCTTCAGTTTTGGCTCATTTAAATGAGGTGTATAGGGGGATAAAATTCAACACATTATCGATTTGAACATTGAGGCAGACAATCGTCTACAAGGAACCCCCTCTAGCTTGTCTCGTGTTGGGACTGGATCAAGTCGAGTAATATTCGCACCAAGCACATGGCATGACAAGCCAGCCTATTTCGACATACTATGTGAAAAAGAAGTATGTAATATCTCAATTTTTACATGAAAAAAAAAACTAAAAGGAAAATACTTTTCGAAGTTCATAACTAAGAGAATGACATGACTAATGAGCCAATTTTTCTTAGAAGTAGAAAGTCCCACTAACTTATGGCTACAGTATATTATAGAGTCGTCAAAGTAGCATAAGGGTATAAATACTCGAGAAAATCAATATAGAACAAGTAGATAACAGGGCGAGACGAGAAAATATTAAAATAAGACACATACCATATCCCGTGCTACTCGTAAATTAAGTATTAACCGTGGGGAATTGAAACAAGGACTAGTCAATAGTGCATAAATTTGTTTGTATGTCATCAAGTCAATTCCTTTCTCTCGAGTTCAAACTACAAAGTAAAATAAACCCTCATAATCATATCTCAATCCTATAACCTTGTGAGTTGTGATTGTGGATAATAGTGTTTAACAAGCTAAACTGTGCCAAATAAAAAGCCATTTAGCTTAGGCCAATATAATATGGCCATTTGGGTATGTTTTAAGAAATTAACAAGCCCATCAAGACTCAAATCTTCATAAGGACCAGACTCACAGCCCAATAGGTTGGCCCGTTCATCTGCAGACCATCCCACAATGGTTAGTGAAAAGAACTTCCAACTGAGCACAGTTAATGCACATTCACCACAGAACCTGGTAACCAAAGATTTAATGACACATATACTAATAACTCACCACTTGCAAGTTAGACATAATGTGCCTTCAATCAACTCTTTCAAGTCACAAAACTACATGTCTCATTCAAGTTTAAAACAGTAGTTAACTGCAAGCAAATCCAACCCCTCATTCTCAATCTTTCTCTATACATCATAACCAGTTTACCAAAGAAATGATCTGGAAAAGATTCGCAGAAACATCGACGTTCCTCAATCGAGTCAGAAGTCGGGTTTAAGCCTTCTAATGTCAGTAAGCAAGTTAAACTAGTCGAAGATAAGGGATTCATATATATTGCAATATGATTGAGACATTAGCATATAATAAAGGGTAGCCAAATTTTCCATTCCAACACTCAGGTTCAAAAAAGCTGACCTGAATGCCGAGCCATACTCCTTTTTCTTTTTTCCAATTTATTTACATCTAATTTGGCCTTACCGCATAATTTTCAGGTTTGATTGGACTGCTTAGGCAATCTTCCTTCCAAAGCTGCAATGTCGAAACTTCATAGCCTGGTTAAAATGAAGCTTTCTGATGCAGTTTCTGTTAGCTATATATACACCTCTCCCCAAGAACATGTCTCAAACAGCCATGGCAGGTCATATGCTATGTACACACGGCTGGCTGGCTGGCTGGCTGGTAGTTCTGTGCCGAGTCAGATCATATAATCGAACAGAATGGCATGGGTCTCGGGCATCACAAGGGGAAGATTCTCGACATAAAGATAGAAACGCCTAAGGTTCTCTTTCGCTAGAGTTGCAGCATCGACTATCTCGCCATTGGTAATTAGAGCCCACAAGTCTCTAGACCTCACTCTCTTGAGGCTGCCCCGGCAGAATGGGCAGGACTGTGATCTCGAGTTCCTGTTCAAATAAAGATCAAACTGGTATAAAGGGATTGAACTACACAAATAACCGAAAGCCAAATAAGATACGAAAAGCAGTCTGAGAAGTTACCAATCGTGGAAGCAATTCATGCACAAGGAGTGCCCACAATTTGGTAACACCATTTTCCCACCATTCTCCATGCATATCCCACATTCATCATCTCGCTCGAATTCATTATTATCGGCTAGCCTTCTCCTGTCCTCTGCTCTCTTCCTGGTTAAGACTTCATTGCCCCGACTTCTCTTGTGGGTATCTTCTGATTCCACAAACTGACCTTCGAGCTGCCTGAGTGAAGGATATATAATGGCTGCAAAACAGAACATTCCATCCCAGATTTAGATTATCAAGATAATCAGTTAAGCAGTGTTTCGAGAATAATCGCTTAGCAAAGAAGTTCCGGACCATAAAACTCCCTTAAGCTAGCCTTCCTCTCTTTAGAAGACAAAGTCGGCACTCCATCAATGTAAACCTGGATAAAGCAAGACAGTTCATATGAGCTCTGTATGCAGAATACACTAAACCTCACATTTGAACATATCACGAGGCAGAATGATTAACGAATTGCGCACCTTGTAAACAAGAATATGGAGCAGGCCTAAGTAGCTCGGGAGAGCATCAGTACAACTGTAATCCATCCACTCAACCAAGAACAGGAGGTAGGGAGCAATTGGACTGTATGAAACCCTCATCTGTACACAATCCCCACCATAATCTCCCGGGAGAGAAGCTGCCCTGCAATGCATAAACCCCCACCAGAAAAAGCCATATATCAACAATCAATCAGTGTAATCCTACTTGTGATGCCCAAATTCACATCAAAAGGGTCCAACACAACAGTGCACCTCTGCAGAAACTTGCAAAAAAGCAGACAACTTTCATAAACCCTTCTGAACAAACAAAGAAAAAACACACAAAATCCTGGTGTTTACTATTATTGTCTGTTTTGGTTTTCTGTTGTAGCCTTCGAGCTCGTCTTGGGGTTCATGGGAGGCGGAGCCATGGCGGCTGTGACGGAGAGAGGAGCACTTTCCCTTTCTCCTTCTTCGAAGCCCCGAAATCGAATCTCTCCTTGTTTGTTATTTTTGCATTCAATGTTTAAGAGATTCCAAGTTGAAGCTTCCAAGGATTCTTTCTCTAGAGAACAACAATTTCTGCCAGGTTCATACCGCCACCATATTCCCAAGACACCAACTTTTTTTTCCCCACAAATTCCTGCTTTCACCTACTCCAATTGGAAGAAGAAACCAACTATCCATCCACTAGACCAAAAACTTAGAAAACCCCCACAATTTTTTTTTAAACTGGTTCCAAATTGAACAAAAAGAGAAGAGGAATTTGTTGAGACTCACAAGGTATTGGCATGTTGAATATCAGCTTCAAGGGCTTTGAGGGATTCTCTGAAAGGAGATGATCTAAGTGGCTGTTTCTCCTCCCACATAACTCTTCACTTGTTCTCTTCTAGTATAACCTTCTACCCTTTTGAGCCCCTGCTGATTAAATTAAAGAAACACCCAGAAGAGAACAAAAAGGATTGAAGAGAAGGTTATGCAGAGGAAAAAGGCAGAAGGGTTTCTTTGTTTGTTTGTTGATGGCGCAGAGGGTTCTGCAGAGATAGAATGTTATGGGGGAAAGGAGATGATGAAAGATGGAGACTTTTCGAAAAGGGTGAGCCGAGAGAGATGAGAAAAGTAGATAAAAGAGGAGATGGGAGAAAACGAAGGGCAATAAAGAAAAGGGGAGAACTTTGCTTAGTGTTGAAACCTTTCTTTCACACAGTGGGGAGAGGGAAGAGGAAGGGGAAGAAGAAGAAAGGAGAAAGCAAAGGATGGCTTTGCCTTATAGACGGCCTAAATGGAATGCTCTCTCTCTCTCTTTCCATTTCTTTGGGTTTGGTTTTTCGTCAAAATCCAATTTATTATTTGCCTGGAAATTATCCACTTTGGCTGGCAATTGGGGTTTGGGTTTTCTTGCCTGCCACCATTATTATGTGGAGCTCTGACTTTCCTTGCAAACCTTTTGATGACCTAAAGAGAAAGTAAAAAGGAGAAACTGAAATCTATTAAATGAGGCTTAATCCAGGGACATCAGAAATGAAATTTAGGAGAAGATTCTTCAGTCAGACTGTACTATTAAATACAACTTTTTTTGTTAAACAATAGCCACACTACAACCATACGGGCTCGTGAGATTACTCTTCAATTTAGGGGTGGTTTGGTTTTGTTGATTGTTTGGTTGAGATAGTTACAATGTGTATTATTCACAATGTATTATTTTTTTAAATTTTATGCACAAACAATACATGCATTGTTTGTTTGATTTGACACAAACTATCACTCAAAATGAGTAATAGTTAAATCTCAAGTTTTTTGTGAAATTGTTGAGATTATTTGATTATTTTTTCTTCCAACTATGTCCCTACCTTTTTATGTGTGTTGCTTCTTTATATTAAAAAGAAAGGGTAAAAGTGACATTTCATCCAAAAAATTAATATAATTTATTTAAATGACACAACCACTATCACAAAAACCAATTTTTGTATATACATGTATATTATTATCAATGCATTTATGACAATACATCTATTTAACTATCACCGAAACCAAACGACTTAGTTATATACAATACAATTTAAATTAATAATAATTAAATTTTAATGATCAATAATTTATTAATACGATTGTATATAACATTAAAATAGAAATGATATGTATTTATAATCATAAATTTTGTTCGTGTAATGATTATCATTAGATGAATTTCTCATTTATGAAGTTGTATCGAGCAAGTTTCGTGAATACTTGATGGTTTGTTTGGATGAGTTATTGCAACGAGTTATTTTTACCAAAATATATCGTGTTCTTCAATAACACATAATTTTTTTTCTAATACTAATAACAATAATGGATAAGTTTCGTAAAAAATACCACACATGCAAAATGATGCATTCAAACGACCCAAAATCAATGTAAATCGTAAATGACTTTCAAGTAAATTCGCACAAACTTTTTCATTGTCATACAATTGAAAATTAAGATTAATTTCAAATAGATTCGACGGATCAAAATGATGATTATAAAATTTACATCCAAAATCAATAATGTAGCATACGCGTATCCATAATTATATTTAATCAGTTTTTAAGGTGAATACTAATTGTGGCAACCCAAACACAAATTACGTTTTCCATAACCCTTATCCTACAAAATGTAACTCCGTTTTCAGTTCTATGGATTTTGAAATTTGAAGATGATCTTGCAACTCAAATTTCTTAATATCGATGGAGAGATAGATGAAATGCATCATGCATATGATAAACATATGACTGTGAGGATGGGAATATACAACTAGGACCGCAAATGAGCCGAGTTGTTTGCGAGCGGCTCGACGTTCGACTTGAGAGAAGCTCGTTCGAAACTCGGCTCGTTAATAAACGAGTCGAACATGAGCTCAGTTCTGTTCAGCTCGTGAAGCTCGCGAGCTAGCTCAACTCGGTGGCTTGTTGAACTAAATTCATGAGCTGGCTCGTTTAGACCTCATGATATGTCATATGTCTCAACATGTGGCTAGAGAGCCAACTCTATTACCGACTTATGGACGAATCAATCTATATCTTATGATTTTAATTCATATAATTGTTAAATTATATATCTCACCATATATAAAGTTTAACACGTTGAGTATGTGAGCAAATATATCTTATTTTCTACTTTAAAAAGAAATTATGTATCATATATTGCTTCGATACTATGAAATAACATGATTTGAATTAGGTTAAAATTTATTAACTAAATGATATATGATACCAACAAAGTATAATATGATATTAGCTAACAAAATAAATCATATGTATCGTGATATACAAAATGAAGTACCAAATAAAAGTCAAGATTTTAGTAAACAAGCTAATTCGAGCTCGACTCGGCTCGTTAATAAACGAGCTGAGTCGAGCTCGACTCATTTATTAACGAGCCGAGCTCAAGCTGGGGTAAAACTCAACTCAACTCGGCTCATTTGCAGCCCTATATACAACACACTCTCAATTCGAATCTTGAGATCAACAATCAACTAAAAAACGAAATAAGGATTGGATTGAGAAAATTAAAATTCTTAATAACAACATAATCCACTACAAAAATTTCTTTCCCGATAATATTAATGTAAGAGAAACATTTTCTCATTTCCAACTTTTTGTTCAACCAAGGTTGTTCAAACGGATTGGTTATTGTAGTAACCATTTTAATCAGTTGTATTGGAATGATTTGGCTAATTAGTTTGGTCTAATTAAAATGTTTAGTTAGTTTGATTCAAGTGGTTTGGTTTCACACAGTCCTAACCCAATCAAACCAAGAGAATAACTTTTTCAGACTAAGATCATTTCTAAAAGACTAAGACAATTCACACAGTCGCGTCCAATTCATTAACCTCATACCATTGAAATGTATTTTTGTTAGGTGGATACTTCTAATGATTGTAAGAAAATGTTATTAGTTGTATGTATTTATGTTAAGGATTAAGTATGTGTTGATTGTTATGTTTGATTCCTTATATAAATTAGAGATTGATGCATTAACATGAGATTTTCGCACATCACGGTAATGTTATGTAATATTGGTTAACCAAGTTAACCAATTAACAAAACTAATTAACATTAGTTCGGTTTATTTGGTTGTTATATTAGATTGACCGATTTTTTTTAGATAAGGGTAATATATGTTTACTTTTGTGGTTAGATACTACTTAATAGATTCAAATCTGAGACTTTCAGGTTCAAGGTTAGTGGTATTACCACTTGAACAAACTCTTATTGGTTAGTTTGACCAATTTTGTTATGATAATATATTTTATGATTAATAGAATTTAAACTTATTTGATTTAGTAATTATGATAGTAACAATTTCAACCCGTTGCATCTGCGTCATAGTGAGTAGTAGTAGGGAAGAATATAATATATTTTTACCTAATATTGCCTCTAGAGTTTGAATCTAAAACTTGTACTTGAATTTTGGAGAAGCAGTAGGGAGGGAGTTGTGAACTATATATATCAAGTCCAGTTGAGACCAATTTTCTTTGGTCATGATCCAGGCCCATTAGTTTGAGGATGGGTGGGGTGATTAAGTTAACCTGGACCATCGGGCCCAATACCGATTCAGCCTTTCCATTCTTCCAATTTACAGGTAACCGGCTAACCGCATTTAAGGCTGATAATGAATCAAGTCAGACTCATGAATAATTCTGCGTTTGATTTGAGAAAAATTCGTTCGGCACTTGACTCGTCTTTATATGAGCCGGTTCGCAAACAAACCCGTATGTAAAACAAGTCGAGTTCTAGCCATGACATGTTCAGCTTGATAGGCTAGCGAACTAGCTCGAAAGCTTTCAAGTGTCTGCTGTTGATGTCTCGTGAGCAGAGTTCGAGCTCGAGATTGAGCTACAGTCGATATTATTATCAGTTGAACTCAATTTTTGCACGTTAAATTTATTTGGCGAGCCGAGCACGAGAGTCGAAAACCTTTATCTTTGCCTGGGAGCTGGGATTAATTAAGGTTTGCTTTAAATTAGATTAGCTAGCACTCTTTAAACAGGGTCGTTTGGATGGATCAATTTAGAAATGAGTCAATTTAATTAATTGTCTCGTTTTATAAACGAGGCAATTAAAACGAGTCAATTCGAATTACCTGCCCCCACCCCAGGTAATTGAAATTTACTCAAAACGGATCAATTCAAAATACCTCATGCAGATTGAACCATCCAATTTTTTTCTGGCAAACGAGGTAATTTGGTACAATTGTCTCAAAACGAGACAATTGTGTCAAATTGATCCGTTACAATTGCTCATCCAAACGACCCTATCTTTAACATTATCTCTCCTTTTGATTTGGATTGAGGTTGCATGCATCAAATCGTGATCGAGATATTAAGAGAAGGTAAGGAAAGGGATAGTGTTTTTTGGTAGGGCAGGTGACCTAATAATCCAGATGATGAGCATGAAACAGCCAGGATTTCATCAAATGGTCCTAAGCCTCTTCCTTCTTCGGCATTTCGACAATGAAATATGATTAAAAAAAATGACAGAGAGATATGAGTTAATTATATTAAAGTTTCTACCAAAAAAAAATTTATATTAAAGCAGGCAAATAATTGTATGTTCTCTAGATTGGTTGTGTTGTGTCCCAAAAGTGACCAACCAAATTTGGTAGGGTGTAGCTGTTCTCCATGAACTGGATCCCTTCTTCTTCTCTTTTATATGGTTGTTTTTTGGGGTCTTTTTAGGGCATACACTAGTGAGTAATTACTACCCATAACAAAGATGGTATAATCAGAGTGAAGTTGGGCGAACTTGTTGTCCCACAAAAAAGGAGTAGTTTTTATGAAAGGGAGGATGATGGAAAAAGATGCATTGATAAGTTTTGCACAAATTGTTCGTTATTAGCGAGGTTCAAGAAGGTACTAGATGTAAGGTGGACGTTGGGGTATTGCCTAATGTCTAACTTGCCTAGGTGTTGTCTAAGAGTTCCTAGGCGTTGGAAACAAAAATAAATTTTGTACTAAATGTAGAATGAATAGTTGTTTTATAGCACTTCTACTTCACTTCGAATGATCAATAACTTACTTAACATTTAACGGTAAGTAGAATAGCCCACAAGCTCATAGAATCATAGATCAATTGTTCACAAAGTTTTTGAGCTATTGAAAAGATTGAAATCATAGATTCTCCCTTTTGATATTTGACTATCTAGCCCAGTTACGCCCAGACGACACCTAGGTGTTTTTCAACTGCGCAAATTCCTAACTTGTTGTGGAACCTCTTGACGAGGCATTTTGCCTTTGCCTAGTGCTTAGGCAGACCTAAGCGTAAGACAAGGTTGTCAACCCGCGGGTTGACCCGGACCCGGTTGAGCTAGTGAGTCAAGGGTTAATG